AAATTGAGACTAAAATGAGACTAAAATGAGACTAAAATGAGACTAAAATTGAGACTAAAATGAGACTAAAATGAGACTAAAATGAGACTAAAATTGAGACTAAAATGAGACTAAAATGAGACTAAAATGAGACTAAAATTGAGACTAAAATGAGACTAAAATGAGACTAAAATGAGACTAAAATTGAGACTAAAATGAGACTAAAATGAGACTAAAATGAGACTAAAATTGAGACTAAAATGAGACTAAAATGAGACTAAAATGAGACTAAAATTGAGACTAAAATGAGACTAAAATGAGACTAAAATGAGACTAAAATTGAGACTAAAATGAGACTAAAATGAGACTAAAATGAGACTAAAATTGAGACTAAAATGAGACTAAAATGAGACTAAAATGAGACTAAAATTGAGACTAAAATGAGACTAAAATGAGACTAAAATGAGACTAAAATTGAGACTAAAATGAGACTAAAATGAGACTAAAATGAGACTAAAATTGAGACTAAAATGAGACTAAAATGAGACTAAAATGAGACTAAAATTGAGACTAAAATGAGACTAAAATTGAGACTAAAAAATTGTTGTACCACGTTCCAAGATAATTTTTATATTATCAAAGTTTAGATATAAAAAGTTATTAATAGCCTAACTGTTGTACGAGTCGCAAGACTAAATTTCATATGCATAAAATGCACTTTGTCGTGTGGAATGGAAACACCGTGAGTCAAAAAAATTAATTTAGATTCACAGTTAAAATGGCTTCGAGTGCGAAGGGTAAAAATTCGCTCGTCGGAAATCACCCCCTTTTTTCCAATGTTCCATTTTTTCTCTGCTGTCTTCGTGCGATCGCACAGAAAATTTGTTCAGATTTTCAGACCAGTTTTACGATTATTTTTCCCGATTACTTTCACGAAAGGGTGAAACGTCGCCGCTTCGAATTCGCCGATGTCTTTGTTTAAGCTCCCCGCTCATGCGTTTCCGTCTACCCTAATTTTTCAATCTCGCATCCAGAAGTTTATTTCGCAGATCGCCAAGCGTTCCGGCGGCATTAAGGTCGCACGGAGAAAGAAACGGCGTGGCAAAGGGGTTAATGGGCGACGACGTGGGTCACCGTGAACCGAGCAGGGAAGTTGAATCCCGACGAAACGCGATTGTCTTTTAAGCCGGGAAGATGATTTACGCTCGCCGTTCGTGTCGTGCATTAGAAAAGATCGACTCGCCGCTGCTCTGTAATGTATATATCTAAAGGGGAACTTGCTATACAGACAAACGTTTCCACGGTTACGAAATAGAGGGCGTACTTACCGCAATGCGCCAGTGACGTGTTCACGTATGCAACAAGGCGCGTTCCGCGGCTTCTTGAAAAAACGCAGGCGACGAGGCGGGACACGCGGAACATTTTTTGGAACACGCTCAACTGTCCCGGGGATCGCGATATTTTATCGCGGCGAGAAATACGCTGCTTCTTCGCGAATCAATCGCGTCTCGCGAGCATCGCGCGGTTCTTGCGGCTTTTATGCGGGCTGATTCGGTCCGACGCGAGAATTTGTTTTCTTTGTTTCTTTTTTTTTCATCGTTTTATAGCAATTCATCGAAAATATGTTTACGCACGGTTACGTTTATTTTGTATGCTCGAGGATGAACTATATTGGACGAGCATTTTTTGATCAATGAAATTATAGGAACTGTTATTATAGAAAAATTATATTTAATTGATATTATTATAGAAATTACGGAAACTAAATTATAGAAATTATAGAAATAATAGAAAACAAATATAGAAAGATGATGATGATAAAATTATATTTAATTGATATTATTATAGAGAAATTATAGAAACTAAATTATAGAAATTATAGAAATAATAGAAAACAAATATAGAAAGATGATGATGTGTGATCAAATTATATTTAATTAATATTATTATAGAAATTATAGAAACTAAATTATAGAAATTATAGAAATAATAGAAAACAAATATAGAAAGATGATGATGATAAAATTATATTTAATTAATATTATTATAGAAATTATAGAAATAATAGAAAACAAATATAGAAAGATGATGATGATAAAATTATATTTAATTAATATTATTATAGAAATTATAGAAATAATAGAAAACAAATATAGAAAGACGATGATGACGATAATAATTATAAAGTTGTTATTGAAAATAATGTTTGTCACGTCCGCGGTCTCCGATAGTAAATGCGCTCGGGTGACTTAAAAGTTAAAGGAAGACTTAAAAGAATTTCGGAGTTAAACTGTACAAGAAGATTAGAGTTGCATAGCTATAATGCGTCCGCAAGGTGAACCACGTGAGTTGCGTCACTGATCGCGAGATAGTTTCGGTGTTCGTGGATATTGTTTGTAAAATAGTGGTATACAATTATACGTTCTTTTTAATATTTTATTATTCGTTCTATAAATATCGAAGTATATTTTTAATGGTACCTAAACCGGCTTCGAGACAAATGATTTTGATTCTGTATATTTTCACTTTCACTGATAAATCTGCGTTCGCCATTGTTAAAAATGTATTGGTACCATAAGGACATTTATCTGTACACTATGGCAGAATAAATTTTTGTATTATTATATATTTACTTAAATATACGATATAAACATAATAACATTGATTCGGTTATTATTAGACAGCGGATCTTTCCGCAAATTTGCATTTCTCATAGTTAATTTACAGCCGACTAAAATAACCGAAAAATTCGTTTCGTTAACCAAAAGATCCCTTACGATGGAAATAAGATAAATACATTGTTAATTTTTCAACTTTACATTATTAATTCATCAACCACGAATTTTTGGCGCTTTGAAATTTGCGCATGCAATAAATACGTATAGATAAGTGCATAAAGTCCAGTCATAATTTCATTCTGCAAAGGCTTCTCCGAACGAGCCCGTTTATTACGTCAATGACGACAGCTGAAAGGACAGAGGTCCGAACGCGATCGACGTCGAAAACGTGCACAAATATAAACTTTGGGGGAAAGTACAAAGACGAACGGGACCACTGACTTGCGAGCACATTATTGGCTCTAATCAATCGATTCGCAGGTTATTTTTACTCGCTTTTTTTCGGAGCTCCACTTATCCCCGGCCTGATGATTGCGCGTCGTCTCGCGCGCGGCCGCTGAAAAAAGTCGACGTTTACACGCCGTGAGGATCCCGAAAGCGTCTTGAGCGATCGTTTCGACGCTTCCCGAGATCGTCCGCGCAACGGCGACACGATCGTGCAATGAATAGTCAAGCAGCCTCCTTATAGTCGTCGTTAACCGTCTCGAAGGAGGTCTTTCATTCACAAGAAAAAGGGATTTCTTTCGCGTGCTTCACGCGGCGACCTTAAGCCACGAACACTATTCCCAGGAACCATTTCCCGCACGAAGTTCGCCTCCTGCTGCGGCTCGCCTCCGCCTGAAGTTCGATCGTGTCGGATTCGCTGTAATATAGAACGCTAATTATAGGAAGTAGTTGATCGCAAACAAAGCCGCGGATCGAATTTTCGCTAAGGAAAAAATTACTTCAAATGACCTTAGCAACCCTCCACATTTTTGGGACACCCTGTATACGTTAATCCGATTTTTGCTATAAATTTCCATACAAATCTTATAATTTTTAATAATTATATAAAATTTTTATTGAAATAAAATCGTGAAATTAAAATTTAAAATTAGATTAAAATAAATGTAAAATTAAAATGAATTTAAAATTAAAATAAATGTAAAATTGAAACAAATGTAAAATTAAAATAAATGTAAAATAAAAATAAACTTAAAATTAAAATAAAATTTTATATATATATCAATTATTTTTATAAATTCTTTGAGTTCCCTGTAAATTTAAATTTAAAATAAAAATATAATAAATAAATTTAAATTTAAAATAAAATTTCCCTGTAAATTTAAATATAAAATTTATAATAGTCGTGCAATGCCTTCACGCAATATATTATTTGAAGAAAATGCATTCATCAATCTTTTGACTCACGAATGTAATTATTCAAATTGCTTGCGTATAGATCAGAGAATTACCATTTTAGTCAGAGATTATTCTTTTCCTCTGACAGCGTTCAGATCTTTATCAAAGCATGGATAAAAATGACTGTTTTAGTGCTAGATTACAATGCAGACTTAACTAACTTTCCATAGTTGCCGATTAATCGACTACAATAAAAACGAAACGCGACGCTCGAAATCAAACAATCGTATCTCCACCGTCCAAATTGTCCATTTTCGTTTACAAGCTGAAGGACAATTGGAGAGAATTTACAGCACTTATTTCCCTGTTGCCAGAAGCAATGTCGCAGTCGACGAAATGAATTTTCCCGTAATTGTCCCGTAACGCGATAAACGTATCATGTCGAAGATCTCAGTTTCCCGGAAAATTCAGTCGCGGCGTCGGTAAACACACCGTGTTTAACAAAACAATGTGCCACGCTGTACGCCCGACAGAAAATGGTAGCCCGGTAGAATCTTGTTTAATTTAACCCTCTGCACTCGAAGCTATTTCAACTGTAAATATAAAATCAATTTTCTCACTTATAAAATAAAAATACTATTATATTATATTATATTATTATATTATAATATAATAATATATATATATATATATATATATATATTATTATTATTATTATTATTATTATTATTATTATTATTATTGTATATATATATATAAATATATAGTATAATATAATAAAATATAATAAATAAAATATATATAGTATATATATAAATATATATATAAATATAGTATAATATAAATAAATATAATAAAATACTATATGTAAATACTATATATATTATATTATATATATTATTATATTATATAATACTATATATAGTCCACCGGTCCTTGGTCCACCGGTTTCACGAGTCTATTATCCCGGCTATTATAACGACGAGAGACGCGTTCCGTGCAATCGCAAAAGCCGACGTTAACGAAGCCGAAGACTAAGAGAGATGCCTCGATATTTTTCAGATACCTCGATGGAGAGTGCCGGTGGTGACAAGCAGAACGAGTCGGACGAGTGCGATGTGATCGGGAACAATCAGCGCGTGAGCAAGATGACCGGCCAAGGGGACACGAACGCGAAGATCGGCAGGGGCCTCGGCAAGGGTATCGGCAAGGGCCTCGGGAAGGAGGAGTCCCTGAAGAACCTGAAGAATCTGGAGAACATCGGGCAGAATGACGAGGACACCGCGAACAAATTGTCGAAGTCCGGGTCCCAGGACGACGAGGAGGAGGAGGAGCGGGACGAGGACGAGGGCAAGGGGTCCGACGAGGAGAACAAGGAGGAGAAGACCGACGGGAAAAAGGACGAGGAGTCGTCCAGCAGCACCACGTCCACAAGCACTTCCGACGACGAATCTGAAACCAGTTCGGACGATAAGACCGAGGCGTCGAAGACCGAGCAGACCAAGACCGTAGAACCGGAAACCAAAAAGGAGGATCAGAGCAAGAACGACGACACCACCGACGACAGCGACATCGAGGATGACTTGATCTCGGCTATCAATTACAACACCATTACCTCGCTGGCCGCGCTCAAGGACATGCTGCAGTCCTCCGGGGAGAACTCGGACGGCGTGGACAGCTTCTTTCATCATTACTTTCTGTCGCATGTGAACAGGCTGCCCTCCAGGAACCAAACACACAGTCCTTATCCCTGGGGTAGAAGGCTGTCCGAGTGCAGGGAGGAGGACGAGTACGAGACCGAGGAAGGTCAGTGGACGCCCACGCAACGCTTTCTTTCTCTTACGCAATCCCCGTTCGTTTGGAAACGGTTATGAAGTTGCGGAACGACGGTCGCGATGCGCAGGGTTAGCGGAGCCAGTTCCTCTGGGCTAAACAATTACAGTAATATGTCTCTTTAATTGGCGCTCAGATTGTGCACAGAAATGGAGAATTTGGGAAGAGGAGATGCGATTATACGAGCCTTGCGGTTTGGTTTTACGAATTGTCAACAATTATAAAAACGACACGCAAGGCTCGAATAATCTAATATAAATAATAAATAAACTCGAAATATAAAATATAAATAATATAAATAATAAATAAGCTCGAATAATATCTCCTCTTCCCGAATTGTCCATTTTTGTGCACGGTTAGGGCATCAGTTAGGGAGACATTACTGTACTGTGCCTTTCGTTTATTTTCAAGCGTAATTGTCTTCATATTTATCGAATAAGATATTATATTCTTTCATTTAAATTTAATTCATTCATTTGTTGAAATGAAATGGGTAAAATATATGGAAGTCCTTAGAATATCACAGAAATTATTTCAATATTTTTGGTGCAATTTGGTGCAAATTTTTTTGGTTCAATTAAATAAATCGTCCTAGTAAACTATCAGAATGTTAATTGTGTTGGTAAAGCACGCATATAATTATGATAAACAAAGCAGTGACTATTTGTTTTAATTTTCGTTTTTAGTTACAATTTTAGTAGGTTATTTAACACAGTAACTGGCTCCAGAACTTTCGTTTTTCTTTTCTCCTAATATTGAAAGAAGATTTCACTTTTAAGTTCTTAAAAAATGCTAATTATATTGCTAAAATTGTTTTTGCTAGCGAGAACTCCCGAAGATCATAGGCACACAGGAACTGGCTCCAGAACTTTCGTTTTTCTTTTATCCTAATATTGAAAGAAGACTTCACCTTTAACTTCTTAAAAAATGCTAATTATATTGCTAAAATTGTTTTTGGTAGCGAAAACTCCCGAAGATCATAGGCACACAGTAACTGACTCCAGAACTTTCGTTTTTCTTTTCATCTAATACTGAAAGAAGACTTCACCTTTACGTTCTTAAAAAATGCTAATTATATTGCTAAAATTGTTTTTGATAGCGAAAACTCCCGAAGTCCGCCAACAGGGCACAGTAATTGGCTCCTCTATCCTAGAGACGACGATCTTTGACGATATTTTATAGGCACCTCTAATGTACAATAATTCACCTTTGGGGTCGTGTCCCCGCTATCTCAGCAGAGTCTTGCGATGTTACAGAGGAAATTTTATTTTCCCTCGCTAACGTTTTAGGACACTCGCCAGTACTGTCACAAGACGTCATCGAATCGCTCGCAATTAGATACCCTTCGAATAATCGAAGATCATTTCGACCATATCTTTCATTTAGAAACCGATTTCGTCTGGAGAACATTTTTGAATCTGCCGTTTATCGGACCATAATTTCCTCAGTCGAGGATTTCATTACTGATACGTTCCTGGTGTTTTCACGCGCGCCCTTCACAGTTCGATTTCGTATTGGTTCAGCTGGTGTTCCGCGACATTTGTTGTTACTCTTCTATCGACTGAACGCCATTTACGAGCTCCTCGAACACATTGTTGTTAGTTCACTGTTATTCTCCTTCCGACTTCTAAATACATATTTCTCTGTCGGTTGTTGCTTTTACGTGCTCTTCCAATGAATTTCAGGAATGATCGCGTTCCAAGTATCAAAATTTGGTTATATTTAGATCGAACACATTGTTGTCAGTTCACTGTTATTCTCTTTCCGACTTCTAAATACATATTTCTCTGTCGGTTGTTGCTTTTACGTGCTCTTCCAATGAATTTCAGGAATGATCGCGTTCCAAGTATCAAAATTTGGTTTCATTTAGATCAAACACACTGTTGTTAGTTCACTGTTATTCTCTTTCCGACTTCTAAATGCATATTTCTCTGTCGGTTGTTGCTTTTACGTGCTCTTCTAATGAATTTTAGGAATGATCGCGTTCCAAGTATCAAAATTTGGTTATATTTAGATCGAATACATTGTTGTTAGTTCACTGTTATTCTCTTTCCGACTTCTAAATGCATATTTCTCTGTCGATTGTTGCTTTTACGTGCTCTTCTAATGAATTTCAGGAATGATCGCGTTCCAAGTATCAAAATTTGGTTTCATTTAGATTGAATTTTTGCAGCCCTCCACCCATTAGTTTGGGGCTGGCAATGGCGTCCGGATAAAGGTAAAGTCCCACAATATTTTTTCTCAAACAATTTATCTATGGCTACTCTGTGGGTTTTATTTGATTCCGATCAAAATGTTCGGTTCAATGGTGTTGTTGTCTCTTTATGAATGTCCTTTGATCGTTACATGGAATCTGTTGCGTCGTCTGGAGGTGTTTGGGCAAGTTTTGATGTTCAGGTGATTCGTATTTCGAACAGGCTAATTATTTCGTACGCGTTCATATTAATTATCATTCTTATCATTTCATTATCACTCTCCATCTCCGTTCGAAGACGAATTACAGTAATGTCTCCCTAACTGACGCTCAGATTGTGCAGAAAAATGGACAATTTGGAGAGTGGAGATACGATTATTCGAGCCTTGGACCCCGTTTTTATAATCGCGAGGCTCTAATAATCGCATCTTCACTTCCCAAATCGTCCATTTTCGTTTGCAAGCTGAAGGAAAATTCGGGAGAATTTATTGCATTTCCAGAAACTGTTTTATTCGTTTTATTAGAATTTCGTGATAGTAATATAATAGAAACTATTGTTACAAATACCGTATATTGTGGATATCGGTAAAAATGTTTAATATAAATGAAAATTCAAAATACAGTAATGTCTCCCTAACTGACGCTCAGATTGTGCAGAAAAATGGACAATTTGGAGAGTGGAGATACGATTATTCGAGCCTTGGACCCCGTTTTTATAATCGCGAGGCTCTGATAATCGCATCTCCACTTCCCAAATCGTCCATTTTCGTTTGCAAGCTGAAGGAAAATTCGGGAGAATTTATTGCATTTCCAGAAACTGTTTTATTCGTTTTATTAGAATTTCGTGATAGTAATATAATAGAAACTATTGTTACAAATACCGTATATTGTGGATATCGGTAAAAACTTTTAATATAAATGAAAATTCAAAATACAGTAATGTCTCCCTAACTGACGCTCAGATTGTGCAGAAAAATGGACAATTTGGAGAGTGGAGATACGATTATTCGAGCCTTGGACCCCGTTTTTATAATCGCGAGGCTCTGATAATCGCATCTCCACTTCCCAAATCGTCCATTTTCGTTTGCAAACTGAAGGAAAATTCGGGAGAATTTATTGCATTTCCAGAAACTGTTTTATTCGTTGTTTTATTAGAATTTCGTGATAGTAATATAATAGAAACTGTTGTTACAAATACCGTATATTGTGGATATCGGTAAAAATGTTTAATATAAATGAAAATTCAAAATACAGTAATGTCTCCCTAACTGACGCTCAGATTGTGCAGAAAAATGGACAATTTGGGAAGTGGAGATACGATTATTCGAGCCTCGCCTCTCGTTTTTTAATAGTCGTCGACAATTCGTAACTATAAAAATGAACCGCAAGGCTCGAACAATCGTATCTTCTCTTCCCAAATTGTCCATTTTTGTGAACAATCTATGCGTCAATTAGAGAGACATTATTGTAATTGTTTAGGCGCCGAGCCGGTTATGTTTGCTCACGAACGATCGAAATTACGGGACGAACGTTGTAACTATCGATGATGTTGCTAAAAAATGTCGGCCGCGTTCTATCCCGCAGATTCCGAATGGAAAACATTGACAAAAGTGTCACGCATTACCGATACGAGCTCGTTCATTTATATTCAATTATTGTCGTCGACTCTCGGCACCGTAACGCACTGGATCGTGCTGGATCGGTTAAGCTTTTCATTACGTAAAATGATCGACAGCCTGTAATGGTATCCGGTTTTCGCAGCAGCTTGCATCACGTCTTACGAATATGGAAATTTGTTGTTGTCGGAATAACATATATCTCTGCGCGGCTTGTGCAACAAAATTGCGAGGCGTGACCGTAGAAGATCAATTCGGGGATCGCGCTGTGGCCGAAATAGCGACGAGAAAAATGGGCGGCTATCAAAATTTCTCGAATTTTGCTGTGCATACAGAATCGAAAGTGCAGTCTGTTCGCGCTGCGTGAGTCAGATTTCGTTCGGCTCGCAGACTTCGATACATTTTTCAACGGCAATTTAGATTCTCCAGATGTCTGCGTTGTAAATAATCTCGTAATAATTGCAGCATAATAATAGATAATATATAAAAATAATATTATCATGTTCAGTGGCGCGTCAGTCATTAATTTTAAGACTGAGTTTTGAAATTAATTTTCATTCTATATATATATTATACATACATTCGGTTTGTTCAATATATATATATATCCAAAAATTCTCGCAATATTCGATCGAATAAGAACATCAAAAATTTAACAGAGCAAATAATAATTTAATAATAAATAATAATAATAATTTAATAATAAAAAATAGTTAAATTATTATTTGCTCTGTTAAATTTTTGATGTTCTTATTCGATCGAATATTGCGAGAATTTTTGGAATTGATACGCGGCACTTAAAGCGTTGCACTTAAAGTGCAATTGAAAAAATATATAAATAAATAATATATAAATATATACATATATATATATATATATTTTAAATTAACATCGTCGCCGTGGACGTCGAATTATCAATATTGAAAGTGGCCCGTGTTTTGGTTCGATTGATTAGTCGCAGACGTACAGAGTGCAGCTTTCGATTAGGAAAAGTGTTAATTTCGCGAAGTAGATTGGATTAGACTCTTGGCGGGTGTGTCGATTGCGTGTGTATGACGGGCCGCACGGAAACCAGCATATTGCGAAACACGATTCGGGCATTAAAACGCGCGTCGGGCTATTAGAAGGAGCTCTCGCACTCGTTCAATAAGAGCTAAGATTAGCGTAGCGGCTGGTGGTTTAGCTTCGTTTAGTTCCGTTTGGCAACGATTCTACCAACAGCGCGAAAAGTCACTCCACTTAGGCAACGATTAGATTATATTCATAGATCTATTATATATATATATATATATTATATTATATTTCCGTAACGGGAATCGCGGTAACTCGATCCACGCGGGAATTATTATTATTATTATTATTTAGTAAGCAAATGTCGGGGCTACCGATAACTTTATATGTATGTATATATTCTCGTTCGACGTCCGCCGAATTTTAATCGCGCATCCGAAATGTTCGCGCTTCTGCTCGCAGCATCGTTTGTATAATTCGCTCGTATTTCCATTGGTAAACTAACTGTTCTACATATTTAGAACAGCCGGGGAACGACATAATTGCACTTACGTCCTATGCGATTGTCGCATTAACGAGGAACGTAACGCAAATCGGTGAGACGAGTGCTGCAAAAGTCAAGGTTAAAAAAGCGCTCTGCAATTCGTGCGCCGGCGACTTCTATTTTCTTACTCGATTCGCGACAGTAAAATTATGGAGATTTTATTGTTCTATTATTATTTTATTATTTTATAGTGAAATTATGGAGATTTTATTATTCTCTCTATTATTATTTTATAGTAAAATTATGGAGATTTTATTACTCTATTATTATTTTATAGTAAAATTATGGAGATTTTATTATTCTATTATTATTTTATTATTTTATAGTAAAATTATGGAGATTTTATTATTCCATTATTATTTTATTATTTTATAGTAAAATTATGGACATTTTATTATTCTATTATTATTTTATTATTTTATAATAAAATTATGGACATTTTATTATTCTATTATTATATTTTATTATTTTATAGTAAAATTATGGAGATTTTATTATTCTATTATTATTTTATAGTAAAATTATGTAGATTTTATTATTCCATTATTATTTTATTATTTTACAGTAAAATTATGGACATTTTATTATTCTATTATTATTTTATAGTAAAATTATGGACATTTTATTATCCTATTATTATGTAGCAAAATGATTGAGATTTATTATTTTATTATTCAGATTATATTATTTTATTATTTTATTATTACTATTATTGCGATCTTTTTATTTTACCTTTTCCACGGAAACATTTCTATCCTCGATGAACGTAAAATAATCCATAATTAACGAGTTTCGTGTATTAGACAGTCGCGCAGTGCCAACGTTATAATTTCAGCCGAATCCGATCATATTTTCCTGTCATTCTCGAGCCGAACGCAACTCCTAGCTTTAGAAACCATATTTTTCCGGGTTACCACCGAAATAGCGCTATAATCAACAAGAGAGCAGATAATTATACACATATGTACACACACACACACAACAGGCGCACAGCAGAATCTTGCGGAACTGAACAAGGAAACTAAACGAACGGTTAATGCTGAATGAAATCCGAAATTACACACACGATGTTTCGTAACTCGCGATACAGGCTGCGCGGAAATTTCGCATTTGACGGGATGATAAGCCGAGGAAAGCGCCGGAGAAAATACTTACGTATTCCAGGGTTTTTCTTAAGCGACCCGGCGGCGGTTCAATGAAGCGAACAAATTACGAGCCGCGAAACTGTCACGGCGATGCAAAACGTCGCGTCGAAAATGTGCGTCGAACCGTAACATTTTTATGCGGTGTTACATGTATTTCTTTCGTTTCCGACCTTGTCCTCCCTTTTAAAATCAATTATCCCGGTATCGCTGTATTCGTTATCCAGACGTTTGTATTCGTCCGACCTGGTGAAAGAGAAAACGTAACCTGTTCATTCTGAAAGATTATAACAAAGAGCGCTTATTATTTCTCAATAAATCGTTCCATTCGAGAGAATCCGTTTAACATGGTTACGTATTCTTATGTCTTCGAGAGAGTCGATATATGGATAACATCGTTCATTATTCATATTATTCACATTATTCACGGCAACATTATTCATTAGATTTAGAAGTATAGTAATGTCTCTCTAATTGACGCTCAGTTTGTCCACAAAGATGGACAATTTGGGTGAAGGAGATTTATCGTGACGATTTCTTCGCTCTGTGGACCAAATACAGTAATGTCTCTCTAATTGACGCTCAGATTGCACATTTGGAAGAGGAGAATTTGGACAATTTGGGAAGAGGAGATACGATAATTCGAGCCTCGCAGCTCGTTTTTATAGTTCTTGATAATTCGTAACTGTAAAACGAGGCGCAAGACTCAATTCAATCATTTTTATAGTCGTCGATTGTCAACGATTATAAAAAAAGAGGTGCAAGGCACAAATGATCGCATCTCTTCTTAACAAATTGTCCTTTTTTTGTATGCAACCTGAGTGTCAATTAGGGAGAATTTACTGTATTATATTCTATATATTATATATATATATATCCTGATATTCTATATATTATACACGATTGTACACGATTATGCGGCTCATTTTTATAGCTGTTGACAATCGGTAACTATAAAAATCGGTAACTGCAGTAATGTCTCTCTAATTGACGCTCAGATTGTCCAGAAAAATGGACAATTTGGGAAAAGGAGATACGATTACTTTAGCCTTGCGGTGCACCGTTTTCATAGTCACGAATTGTCAAGATCTATAAAAACGAGCTGCAAGGCTCGAACAATCATATCTCCACTTCCCGAATTGTCCATTTTTGTGCGCAATCTAAGCGTCAATAAGGGAGACATTACTGTAGTTACCGATTGTCAACAACTATAAAAACGAGTCGCATAATCGTATACAATATATAGACTATCACGATATATAATATATATAGAATCTGTATAAAACATGTATACATTGAATATGTGATTCACTGTAAACGTTCGCCGAAGGGTCGAGCGACTCCGCGAACGTCGCTCCCAACCGTAGCGAACGCGTTAATAACGCGGAAGGTCCGTAACGGAAAGCGGCACGTTGCCTGCACCGCGAGGTGAAGCAGCGACAAGATCGCACAAACGCGAGCGATCCGGGTGTTCGTCGAGCTATACACTCGCGGCACGAAACCGCGCGCGGACAGAGACCGTCTTTGTGGCGGCAGACCTCGCGAGTGCAGTCGCGCCGAACAATGGTCCCTTTGTCGCGATGTCTCGCCGGGAATCATCGACGCCGTCTCTCTTCTCACCTATCCCCGCTGCCTGTTTCAGGGAAGAACGCGGAGCCGGCCGCGCCGCCGCTGCCGCCGCCGCTGGAGAACACCGGCGGCAGCAAGAACGACGTCTCGAAGGCCGAGGACATCGAGGAGAAGCTGGAGAACGCCTCCTCGAAGGCCTCGAGCCCGTCCGCCTCCGAGAAGTCCAGCTCGGAGAGGATCGATCAGAAGTCGATCGGCGGCTCGTCCGCGTCCGAGTTGAAGGCCGCGATCGCGACGACGACGACGACAGTAACAGCGACGACCACCGCGTCGACGCCGACGGCCACGACCGCGACGACCGTCAACGCGACGACCACCGCCGCCACCACCACCGGCACCACCTCGAGATTCACCACGTGCACCGTCACCTCGCCGACCTCCACCACCAAGCCCCCTTTGAGGCGCAGGAACACCACGGGCCCCGGAATGACCTTCCCGGCCACCGATCCGCCGACCTATTCCGCCAGCATGACCTTCTCCAGGACCAGCCCCCTGCCCAGCCCTCATCTCGATAAAAGGTACTTCGACAGCAGCCTCATCGAGATGAAGAGCCAGGCGAGCAGCTCCAGCACCCTGGACTACGACTCCACGGAGGAGGTCTGGGTGCGCAGGGTAGACTTCGTTCAGGAACGGAAGAGAAAGGTGAGCACGGTTATGTCTTTTGAACTTTGTTTTCTTTTTTTTCGGTGGAAATGAATCTCGTTTAACCGTTCGAGTCCCGGGGGTTGTTCAGGAAACACGGTCGAAAAATGACGAACAGCGTGACAGCGCTTGTTTTAATTAATTGCGAAGAGAATCAAGGGGCGCGACAGCGCTCGTCAAGATTGACAAACAAAAGAAAAGGAAAAAAGGAATGAAAAAAGGCAGCTATGCGATGTACGTGCATCACTAAAGTTCGATCGCGACGCAAGATCCGAACAGCGCGATCGCGGTGCTTCGGACTCAAACGGTTAATTCCGAGATTTGAGGAAGCGAATTTAGTTTCTGGTTAGATACGCCGTAAGGTATCCTGTTGATCGTATATGGCTGACGGAATTGTTTGTTCAGATTTAGAAGGGATTTGTGTGCTTATTTTCAATGCTGCGAGCAGGAGCTGAAATAGTACCGAGACCTTTTTAAGCTATTATTTGTCGGTTCTCGCTGACACAGTTGTAAAAACTGTTGTAACTGAAATGAGGGGTTCCTGAGGTGATTTCAAGTAACTTTTTCCTTTGCGAAAATGCAATCCGCGGCTTCGTTTACGAGTTATTGGCGAAAAACGCTGGCCAATGAGAGGCCAGCGCGGCTCGGTCGACGAGCGCAGGAAACCCAGTTCCGCTGATTGGCTCGGCCGCCTAGCGCTAGGCGAGCTCGCCTCTCATTGGTCACTGTTTTTCGCTAATAACTCGTAAACGAAGCCACGGATTGCAATTTCGCTAAGGAAAAAGTTGCTTCAAATGACCTCAGGAACCTCTCGTTTCCCGGAGGCACCATAATTTTGGAACATCCTGTATATGTCCTGTCTCTTATACACATCTAGATGTGTATAAGAGACAGGCCTAGCGCTAGGCGAGCTCGCCTCTCATTGGTCACTGTTTTTCGCTAATAACTCGTAAACGAAGCCACGGATTGCAATTTCGCTAAGGAAAAAGTTGCTTCAAATGACCTCAGGAACCTCTCGTTTCCCGGAGGCACCATAATTTTGGAACATCCTGTATATGTCTGTGTACCGAGTCATATCGGTCTCGGTTTCGATTTTTATGATAATTTCACTATGTCGTCGATTTTTGCGTATTATACTGGGTGATTCATGCAAACAATGGCACCTAGATCATAGATCATAGAATCACAAAAATTGTTTTACGTGGAACATGACTATTATATTAAGTCAAAAATATTTTAGTATGTTTCTCTACCTGTGATTTGGTCTTATATCGCCACAGAGTAGACTTCGGTCTTCCCCACCTGTTGCCAAGCATCGTGCAAAGCTTAAATAGCCGAGAGATAATTCCACCGTGCGATAATTCGTTATAACTTTTTATTTTTAAACGATCGAGCCAAACTACGAAAATAAGCAAAATCATTAACACTTGATTTGTAATTGGTATAGCAATGTTACATTTGGTTGCACGCAACTTCATCGGTGTTTTCGAGTGATTCGAACGAGCCAGGATTCAGGAAAGCAGAAGCAGACGAAAATAATTCTGAATGCACACAGAATTCCGAGGCGACGTGTTCGCGCAAGAAATTATTGCTAAAATTAAATGTACACTTGCACGCCACCGTGTTCGGTTTCCAGTGTTGACGCAAAGCCACGTTATATCGATTCTAATTATTCGATAAAATGTTTGCTTTGTTATGTTGTGTGCTGTGCACATATGTCGCCTATTCCCCAAAGCAGAATTGGTATTCGCATTTTTGCCGACGTCGTACGATTTACGTTATTATTATACACGTGCATACGTGGCTTTATATTATTTCTTAGTACGTGATTCAAGTATTTTGTACGAGGAAATTTCGAGAATTTTCCGCACTTATGTCATCGTGCGATACAAAAATGTCGAATCGTTTTTCGAACTCTGATTACATTGCGGATTTTTATGCAAATTCTCATTTCCATATGTCGTTTTACAAAAATAAATCAGAATAAAAGAGAAGTTTCTTTAAAGAATTACTCATTGTAAAAGAAAAGTTAACTGTTTAAGAAGAATGTATATATTGATATTTTTTATCAAATTATGTATATATTTATACAGGGTGTCCCAAAATTATGGTACTTCCAGGAAATGAGAGGTTCCTGAGGTTATTCGAAGTAACTTTTTCCTTAGCGAAAATGCAATCCGCGGCTTTGTTTACGAGTTATTAACGAGAAACAGTGACCAATGGGAGGCGAGCTTGGCTGGCACGCGGCGGCCGAGCCAACGAGCGCACGGAGCTCGGTTCCGCTCATTGGCTCGATCGTCTAGCCTAGGCGAGCTCGCCTCGCGCCGGCCGTGCTCGCGCCGGCCGTGCTCGCCTCTCATTGGTCGCTGTTTTTCGTTAATAACTCGTAAACGATGCCTCGGAGAGCATTTTTGTAAAGGAAAAAGTTGCTTCAAATCACCTCAGGAATCCCTCGTTTCTCGGAAATACCATAATTTTGGGACACCCTGTATATATGTACAGTGTCATATTTAAATAAAATATGAAAATAGATCAAAGTTACTTATACAGCACAAGATCGCAGTAACTCGTACACTTTTCAAGAAGTTCGCAACAGCCGACTGCTTGAAAGTCAGCGCGTGCAGTGAACGCAAAAAGATCCGCAGTCTGCTTAAAATAAATGAACGTCTTTAATCGAATTTGTATCGGTACGACGCCGGAATTCGAGTCGTTCTAAATATTTATATCGTCCCGGCACACCGTGCGGAGTTCAAATTAGTTCCAGTTTCCCACGGATATCGAAAAAACTTTCGGGCTCGAACTATGGCGGAGTTATCCCAGTTGGCTCGAGCTTCAGTCGATGTACAAATAATTCGCCGCGCCGTTTGGTAATTCGAGTTTTGTGTTTTGATTATCGGTTTAGAGTTAAAGTTCAACAAAATTAGCTCGAGCCGATTGAAACAACCCGTGGAAACAGATTGTTCCTTAGAAACGGATTAAGCACAGTCATTGCTTAACGCTTAAGAAAATCTTCGTACAAAAGTGGACCGACCCTGCGTTATGCGCTCATTTTCGGCGCGGCACCCCGTACGGTGGGAGTGTCACGGCGGACAACGCGCTCGTACCGAAAGGGTTAATATTCAAATATATTACAAGTTAAAAAAGAAAAGAAAAGGAAACACAGCTTATTATCCCAATCATCTTAAAAAATCGTAGGGAACCGCGTATATCAAATGCGCGGGAAAACAACTCCTTTGCATCCGTCTAGCGTAGAAAAGAGCATCGCAGCCCAGTCGACAGTCAGTCAGCCCATCCGTCCGTCCGTCCATCCGTCCGTCTAATTGTAGTAATTGACTAATTGCCGCGAGGAGGAACGGTCTCGCAAATTTGTTTACCGTGGTCGCGGTACGAACTGTTGCGAAAGTCAATGGCGCAAGAGAGCGCGGTCTCGCGTACTCGCGATACAATGAAATTGAGGATCGTGTTTCGCGGTTGCGACATCGTGACTCGCATACTTCTCCAACGATGCGGCAAAATCGTTTCGTTAACTGAAATTCATATCCGCCAAATCGTTTACCGCTCTCGTTCTCCATTCACACGCGACCAAGAAAAACGATCGCTTTCGCGCGCGGCATTCGCGCATTTTCCGCGATCCGAGAATCAGCGTTAACCTTTTAGGCACGACGCGCCACTATAGTGGCTTCCGCGGATGTCATCTTTCAGAACGACACACCACTAATAGTGGCTTTCGCGGATGTCATCTCTATGGACGACGCGCCACTATAGTGGCTTGCTCTAGTAGCTCACTCGCTCATCGTTCGAACCAAATAATCGTCTTCATATGCATTGTTTCACACTTCTTTTGTCTTCGCATCGATTTACAACAGTCCACAGGGTGTCCCAAAAATGTCTCGCAATACGAAAATGGCGGGTTCCTCGGATCATTTGAAGCAACTTCTTCCTTTACAAAAATGTTCTCCGAGGCACCGTTAACGAGTTATTAA